TATGGTCCTTAGGTCAAGGTTTTGACCTTCAGGCCTAGTTCACTACACAGTGACACATCTGAGTTGTGCGCTTTGTACTGGCAGTTTTAGAGCGGGGTGTGGGGGTGTTCAGCATGAGGGAGGAGGCTGCCTTTAGCTTTTTAGCAAGTGTACCTGCATTGCAAGCTGCTTGCTTAGTGTTATGCCAGTGCCGACAGGTGGTTGGGGGGCGGGGGGGCTGCGCACGGTTCGGTAGACGGGGCACTCAGTTTTGTTGACGGGGTGCCCCTATGGTAAAATGTAGGTAAACACTTGTTTATATGTAAATAAACACCTATGATACCAGGGGTGGGAGGGGGCAAAATCAATATTCAAAACAATGGAAGGGCCACGTAGAGAATTGGAAAATAAATCTTGTTTTTTTCAGTTTTTTCTCTTGCTGTAGCAGTGTTAGGTTGTCTCTCCAATACTCGTTAGAGGTCTAAGACACAGTTTCTGTAAAGCGCCTCTATATGTTTGTTAGTTTACATCTGATTTTTGGAGTCTAACATTCAGTCCAGTTCTGGAAACACAAGAAGTAAATAAAACGTTTTAGTCAATCTTAATCCAAATGTTTCATGTAGATGTCTTCATGGATAAAGTGCTTATTTATTTAAACGTTGTTTTCTTTTCAGTTATCAATGGACATTGTCTAAGGGCCACTTTTGGCCCTCAGATATGTTTGTTTTATACTTAAGATAAGGTTTGATGTCGGTTCCATTCATCTGATTTACAAATCCCCCAAATAGCCCGAGAACCCCAAGGCTGACAAACCTAATCTTTGCTAAGACTCGGCTTAGAGATAGTTTAGCATCTTTTCACTCGCGCCCTGAGTGTGATCAGGTGTACTGATCTGAGAACTGTATTTTAACACAAGCAGACGTTCAGTAGGATCAGACGCAGGAAGGACGACTCCCTGCCCCGCCCAGCTTCCGGGGTGATCTTGAACTGAACTCCTGCTCTCCTTGTGTCCACAGCTGAACCTGGCCTCTCAGTCGGTCTTAGAGGGCCTGAACGCCTGCTTTGACCACAGAGCCGAGATCTACGTTCCTGAACTGGGCATGAGTTTTCACGTTCAGCATGAGAAGACCAAGATCTTTGGCTGTCAGAACCCGTTCACTCAAGGGGGTGGGCGTAAAGGATTACCCAAATCTTTCCTCAACAGATTTACTCAGGTAAGAAACATCGATGTGACTCCTGAAGTAATATTACACACATTCTAATGTTACTTCCTTAAACAATACATCCCAGTTGTGTTATAGCCTTATGTGCAGTTTGTGTCATTAATCTTTTAAAACACTTGAGGTTCAGTTATAGTACTTTAGCTGCAATCATATTCACATCCCTAATTGAACAAGTACGCTGATGTCCCCGATCGCTGAGAGATTTTAAAAGTGAATGTTTGTAGTTTTCTAGATGAGTGTTTTTCTCAACTGGAATTTAACAGGGAATGCAAGTAAACCTTAATGTTATGATTTTCAAGTGGGTAGAAGTTACACTGTAGAAGAACAGAGGTAGTTTTTTTTTATCCTGTCCAAGTCGGCGCAGAGTGACGGATCCTGCTGAGTGGAGGGAGACATTTTATCCACCACCAGGAGCAGTGAAGGAGCCAGGGGGTGGCCAATGGTGGCCTTGGCCCACATAGATTCATCGTTGGACACCCCAATCAATTGAGAAAACTATATTTTTAAGCAATATAAAGACTAGAAAGCATAGTTTCCTTGAAAGATTTGAAGGGTGGGGGTGGGGTTTACAAATGTAAATGGCGGTGGCTGTCTTAGAATTTGACTTTGCAAACCCCCCAATATGTCATAGTGAACTTTCTTACACCTAGACACAGACACACACCCAAATGGAAGTCAGCACGTTGCTTTTTTGTGAATTTATCAGCTCACAAGATTTAAATATATTTATGTATTTACTTATATGGCGGCAGCCATTTTGGATTTTGATATGGCAACCAGAGTTTTAATAGGGGTCTTTGTTACACCTTAATGCAGCCACACAACAAAATGGAAGTCGGTGCCTCACTTTTGTTTCTAGTCATCACGCTCACAACATGCACGGACTGACTGAGGGTATTTTCAATGTCCCTTCTTCGCTCTGTGATGGGGACAAAACAGCAGGAACACGTTATTGTGTAAAATATTTCCAATTTCTTTTCTTGAATTTGTCCTTTAATTAGAATAAGATGCAATTTTTTATTTCCAGGTTTTTGTGGATCAGCTCACCAGCAACGACTTGGAGTTCATAGTTGATTCAATGTTTCCCAGCATTGACAAGGAAATCCTCACAAAAATGGTGGCATTCAGTAACAGAGTAAGTTTCTCTTCAATTAGTTACTTCACAGAAAGTAAACATACTCGTGGTCAAGGAAAACTCTTTCAGCTCTAAGGATTTTATTTGTGTCTAAAATACATCAGTGTAACTTTACATGAACAATACTTAACATGTTATAACATCAAAGTGCTTATTGGGTCTTTATTTGTTATTAAAGTGTCCAGGTCCTGCGGCAGAATGAGCCTAACTCATCAGCTCTCTGCAGATATTCTAGCTTTTTTTTTTCCCCTGTGATGTGAGATTTGACGAAGTTTGGTGCTGGACGGGTTATTTTTACTAGAGCCTGACCGAAATTTTAGCTATCACCAGTACCGATATTGGGGGACTTCCAGTAACTGATATACCGGTAATGGCTGAAATTGTTTTTTTTTTTTTTTTTTTTGCTTTGTCCACCCCAAGGATCTAAGTAAACAGTGAGTGGAGCAGGGCTTTTTTATTTAGTGCAGCTGTTAGCAACCACAAAGCTAAACTAATCAGATCCACGCTATACGTAGTCCCACAGTAGGTTTACAAGTGGTGCACTGGTCATAAATACAGTCTTCCTAAAGTGCAGTCATAGTTTCTATCCTCCACTGTTCACCATAAAGTTATCAAATGTGTTACAAAAATATAAATTAAACAAAGAAATACCCTTCCCTGTTCATTGTTTCAACAGTCAGTTCACGTATGGTGAAGATCTAATTAGCATTGAATGCAGCAGCGATAAACAATGTATTTCATTGAGGACGGCAAAGATAACGTTACTATCACTAATATATTTTACCTCTACATTAGATTTATTTATCTGGATAAAGTTTTACAAGGCAATAGCCTTTGCTAGGTTATCTAAACATTAACTTGCTAACTTGAGAGGCACGTAGTTAATGAGAAGCGGGTTGGGGGATTGAAGAGAATTCATTATTGTAAATGTTTTTTATTATTTTTATTTTACAAATCAGTTAAAGCACTGTGAGAGTCATGTTCTTTGATTTCTCCAGTGCATTTAACACAATCCAGTCTGATTTGCTTTGTCAGAAACTTCAGAAGACTCAGGTGGAGGCCTCAACAATCACCTGGGATTAACTGTCCGGCATTGTGACACTCAGAATTATTGTCTGAGTGTCAAAGTGAAGCCCAACAGATTTACTTTCACAAGCAGAGCATTATGGCTGGCCTTAATGCTCTGCTTGATACATAAATTAAATTTTATTAGAATTTGCTTTGGGCTTGTTTCAGATGTAATGGACTAGGAGATGAAAAACAAAGAAGATAACAAAGCAGAAAAGTGAGAGAAGGTTTAAAAGGTAACGAAAGCGATAGGAATAGAGAAGACAGGGAGGGATAAAGAGAACACAAATCAACATCATTGATCATCACTGCCTCTAGACCTGCGGAAAGAAAAGAAAAAAAAATACAAGACAAAACCGAGAAACCACAACAACAAGCATATATAATGATACTTATAACATCATTAGAAAGTATTTTATACAGTACATGGTAATAAAATATATATTTAGTGGTCTCCACAACCCAACTGAGTGTGTATCTGATAAACACCTGAATCTAAACACCTGTGTGAGCATGTTTGTCACTATAAGGTTTCTCCATAAAAATGTTGAATAGTGGATGTGGGGATCAAAGGCTACCTGACAGACAGACCACAGTTTGTGAGACTGAAGGGATGTGTGTTCAACCAGGTGGTCAGTAGCTCAGGAGCACCACAGGGTACTGTACTCTCACCATTCCTTTTCACTCTGTACACCTCAGATTTCCAGTACAAAACAGACTCCTGTCATCTGCAGAAATATTCAGATGACTCTGCAGTGGTCAGGTGTATCAGAGATGGACAAGAAGCTGAGAACAGGGAACTGGTGGACTGCTTTGTGGTATGGTGTGGAAACAATCATCTCATCTTGAATGTGAACAAAACAAAGGAGATGATTGTAGATTTCAGGAGAATCAGTAACAGGTCCAACCCTATTTCCATCATGGGAGAAGAAGTGGAGGTGGTGGAGAAGTATAAATACTTTGGGGTTCACCTGGACAACAGACTGGACTGGAGATGCAACAGTGAAGCCGTCTACAAGAAGGGACAGAGCAGACTGTACTTCTTGAGGAAGCTGAAGTCCTTCAACGTTTGCAGCAAGATGCTGCATATCTTCTATAAGTCTGTTGTAGAGAGTGCTGTCTCTTCTGCCATCATCTGCTGGGGCAGCAGCACCAGAGCAAGTGACTTAAAAAAGATCAACAAGCTCATAAAGAAGGCTGGATTAGTTCTGGGGACTCCTCTAGAACCTTTGGAGATGATTGTTCAAAGAAGGATTCTTCATAAAATGAAGAACAATATAGACAACCCTCAGCATCCTCTTCATCAGACTGCCATACAACAACAGAGTCTCTTCAGTCAGAGGCTTCTTCAAAATCCGTTGTAGGACAAACTGCTACAAGAGATCCTTCCTGCCCACAGCCATCGGCATCTAGAAAACTCTGTAATGAAACCAGGATGATGAGTTATAACAACTTTTAATTTCCCTCTGGGATTAATAAAGTATTTTTGAATTGAATTAAATTAAAATAAACTTACCATGCTTTGTTCAGCAAAATACACAGTATTGCTTCCTGCTTCAAATGTCCTGAAAGTCAAACCTAAGTGAACGGCCATGACTTGAAAGTTGTCTTCATGTGCCCTCTGCTGGATATATTGTACAATTATGACTTGTTCCAGCATTTTAGGAGTGAAAATTAGAAGTGTTTATATCGGCGCATAATGGGACCATTATCACTGACACGATAGGTCCCCAAACGTGTATATCGGCCTTAAACATTGGCCCCTATTGATGTATCAGTGGGTCTAATCTTTACCTTCATTCTGAGGTGTTCTGCTGCTGCTTCAGTCAGGGGACTGCTCCTAATACTGGCAGTGCTAAATTCCACAAAAGGTTTGTCTTGTGGAAAAATGGCAAGATTCAGTCCTTCACTGGGATGTCCTTTTCCGGTTGTTTAATTATCAACTCACTTGGTCCTGATGCTGATGACGTCCTTCAGTTCTTGCTTAGTGGTCTGCTGTCACTTGAGGAACTTGTGTTTCTTGCAGTTTCAATGAAGTCATTTGCTCTGAATCCAACCTTACATCTGAGAGAGAGTGTACTTTTTTATCTTGACTGTTTGTGTCATAAATGTGCAAAGTAATGAGGATGTTTTCCACAGGTTTAAAAAAAAAAAGCATTTCTTTTGCGGGTTTTAATTTTGGAATTCAGCCGGCAAATATTCGTGCAATTCATAATTAGGATTTTTAATATACTTGTGATGCAACATTGTTTGCTTCTACTTAAAAATGTATATATATATTTTTGTCTTTTTACAGCTGATTCAGGAGGTGTGCGTGGAGAGGCAGTGGGGTCAGAAAGGTAGCCCCTGGGAGTTTAACCTGCGAGACTTGTTCCGCTGGTGTCAGCTGATGCAGAACGACCAGTCGTCGGGATTTTTCAACCCCGGCCAGCATGTAGCCTTGGTGTATGCTGACAGGATGAGAAGTGAGGCCGATAAGGCTAAGGTAACACTCCTCTGATGCATGCTCAATAATCCAGGTAGAAAAATCTAACAAAGTTAAGTCTGGTCCTCTGGACAGATTAAAATTAAATAAATAAATTTAAAAAAATTGTTGAAACATTTAGTCTTTTTTCCAAAAGACTTCTTCAGTCTGAGGAGGTGCAATAAGTCTTATAAATAGCACCTTCTCATAGTGGATCAACCAGTTTGCTGGTGACATCCAGAACTAGTTGTGCACATGATCAAGGATGACCATCAGCCTAACAACTGATCGTTGGTGCCTGATGGCTGTTTGCTATTCACAGAGGGCTGAGTGATACTAGCAATAACAGCATCGTAAGAGGGGGACAGATGAACACAGAGGCCTCTGCCCCTGTTTAATGATGGACGGTTTCTCTTCACAAAGATGGCCTCCTTTACTCCTCTCTCAAACCATCGTTCCTCTCTATCCAGGATGTGGACTCTGTGGTCTATAGTCATCTCCAGGCCAGCGGTCGCTCTCAGAGATGAAGAACATCCTTGATAGAGAGATAGGACGTATTATGGTAGTCTCCATCCAAATTTCCACAAACTTTCTTCTGTCCCACCCATAACTTTTGATCCACTTTAGATAATAGCAAAACTTGATACACGTATGCATCATCAGTAGATGGAGGGTTCTGTACATTTTTCATCACCCCATCTCTAAGATCAAGGTCACAAATCGAGGTCAAAGTGAAAGCAAGATCATTGCTTGTCCAGACCATTGCTATAGATTGCTGTCTACCAGTTTGTTGACAGGTGTATAATGTGTCATGTGGCACTCTTGTTATAAATTTCTTGCCATAAGTGGTTTGTGTGTGTACAATTCACCTTCATGTTGTTACTGATACATTTGGAAAGTTAATAACAATCCTTTCATGATGTGACATTAAAGTTCCTGAATCAGTCCATAAATATCCTCTCATCCTACACAGGTGCTCCTTGTGTTCAGGGAGGTTTTTGGGAAACTCTATGAGCCTTACTGCAACTCCAGAAACTTCCAGATCACTCCTCTCAATGTGCAGGTTTGTTAAAACATAAGAACCACATCCTTTTGACTTTGGGTGTTCCAGCATGCAGCTGAAATATTGCTTCTGCTCTAGGTGGGCTTCTCTGTTCTGCAACGCAGCGCTGGAGCCCCAGTGGCTCTGGACCCCCCACTGTCCATAACACACCAGTGCTTACAGCCTTTGGAGTCCCTGATGAAATGTGTGGAGATGGGCTGGATGACCATACTGGTTGGCCCCACAGCAAGTGGAAAGACCAGTCTGGTGAGGCTGCTGGCCCAGCTGACAGGGCATCGTCTTAGGGTCCTGGGTATGAACAGTGCAATGGATACCATGGAGCTCCTTGGAGGCTTTGAACAGGTAACCAGAAACAGGTGTGGAGTTAATGTCTGTAAACAACACCACACATTCTTATACTCTTTTTTTTTTTTTTTAATTTTCCCCATGCAGTTGGATATTTTGCGGCCGTGGCAGCAGGTGTTGGAGAGCGTGGACTACATTGTTGCAATGATAACCAGGAATGGACTGATGTCACTTGATGTTGGTCTCCAGGACACTGAATTCTTGCTGCAGAAATGGGGCGTATTCTCCCAGTGGTTGAGAGACAAAGGGCTGCAGAAAACTGGGGCAATGATCAACTCGGAGGCACTGGACAAACTGGAAGTCATTATCCTCCTCCTGCAGAAACTCAACTCCAAGCTGAAAGTATTCACTGGTAACAACCAAAAACTCTTCCATTACTTAAAACTAGAGCCCAACCAATATGGAAATTTTGGCTATCGCAGATACCAATATTGGGGAGGGAAAGGCTTATGCCGATAATCAATATATAACTGCTGAAATTTTTTGAGCTTTGTCCACCCCCAAGAATCTAAGTAAACAGCTAATTTTAAACCTGTTTTAACACTTGAAGTCTTGAAACAGTCATCCTAACGTGCATTCATATTTTCTATCCTCCACTATTCACCATAAAGTTATCAAGTGTTACAAAAAATATAAACTAAACAAGAAAACATCCTTCCTATGCATTGTTTAAACAGTCAGTCAGTATGGTGACGATCTAATTAGTACTAACCACAGCAGAGTTTATATTTCTTTGTAGAGAAGTAAAGATTTCAGACAAACGATTCATTTCATTGAGGATGACAAAGATAACATTACTAACACTGAGCCGAGGGGCGGCTGTGGCTGAGTGGTTAGAGCAGTCGTCCTCCAATGCAAGAGTTGGGGGTTCAAATCCACCAGCAGTCACATGCCGAAGTGTCCATGGGCAAGACACTGAACCCCTCATCGCCTCCGATGTGTGTCCCATCAGTGTATGAATGTGATAAAGCTCTGATTAGTCTCTTTAGAATGATTTGTTCAATTATCTTTGTAGCAATCTAGTAGAGTGCTGTATGAATGGGTAAATGAGGCACAGATTGTAGTGTAAAGCGCTTTGAGTATCTTGATTAGATAGAAAGGCGCTGTATAAGTACAGTCCATTTACATTTACCATATGTTTTACCTCTACGTTAGATTTATTGTTCTGGATAAAGTTTTACAAGGCAATAGCCGATGCTACGTTATCTAAATGTTAGCTTACTAACTTGAGACGCACGTAGCTAATGACAAGCAGGTTGGAGAATTGAAGAGAATTTACTGTTTATTTTTAAAAATTTTACAGGTCATGTACTATAAACTTGGCATGCGCTGTTAGCAAAATATGCTACACAGTATTGCTCGCCGCTTCAGCTGTGTTGAAAGTGAAAATGAAACTTAAGTGAACGGCCATGACTTGAAAGTAGTTTTCATTCGCCCTCTGTTGGATACATTGTACAATTATGGCTGGTTCTAGCATTTTAACGGTAAACATTAGAAGTGCTTATATCAGTGCGTAACGGGACAATTATCACTGATACAGATAGACCCACAAACGTCTATATTGGCCTAAAATATCAACACTACTGATTTATTGGCCGGGCTCTACTGAAAACTGCACAATATAAAAACAAAAACATTTTCAGGATTGTGTGGTGCATCATTGTTTCTTTGTCTTGTAAGTGAGAGAAGACATTTGTGTTTGTGGCATGTTGGGTACTTCTTCAGACATGTCGAAGCTGCAGAAGGACTTCACGCTGCTGAAGGAGCGTCTGGCTCAACAAGATGATGGCTGGACCAATGGGGGGTTTGAGTGGTTGGACAGTATGTTGGTCCAGGCCTTGCAGGCTGGTGACTGGCTGCTTATGGACAATGTCAACTTCTGCAGGTGAGTTTATGGAGTTTTATTTCTAAAACATATATGTATTTTATCTGTTTGTAAAAGCTCTTGGGAACAATTTAGTGAAGATTTAAGTTTAATTTGTCTTACTGAGTCTTTCTTCCAGCAACGCCACAATTGCAGACTAGTTGGCAACTTACAATTAGTAAAAAAAAGGGCAAGCTGTTTTGTTGCTGTCTCACTGAATTCTAAATGTATAGGACCAAGTGACCAGAGAACTGTGCACCGAGTCACAATTGATTTCTTTTAATCATGGACTGTTTTTGTGTTCATAGCTTGCGAAACCTCATTCTTGTCCATGCAAACTTTTTTCATGCTCACCTCTGACCACATCATACCCACCTCAGCCCACTTTATCCCACCTTGGCACCTTTTTTTAGGCAGATTTCGACCAGTTTTTTATTTTTTATAATTAGTTGCATTGATGGCTTTTAAACTTGAACATGCAGTGCTGTAGCTCCAGATGTTTTCTGTCGCTGTGAATGTTTCAAGACAATACTCTTTTTTTTGGCAAAGCTAAAGCCAAGCCTATAGCTGCACGGCTCACCAGTTGCTTCACTGCAAACACTCAGAATGTGGTAAAACTGCAGTGGAAACCTCACCTTCCAGGATAGCTCACCATTTTCTTAGTTTGAGTCACGAGCTGCTGCAGCCCAGTGAGATACTGGCTTTAGAGACAAAAAACATGACCGCTTGCTCTAATTGTGTATTATTTGCTCAGTGCTTCTGTCCTGGATCGACTCAATGCTCTCCTCGAACCTAACGGATCCCTCACCATCAGTGAACGTGGTGTAATTGATGGGGAGACCCCTCACATCAGACCACACCCTAACTTCAGGTTGGTGATGTCATTTAAAATTCTTGAAACAATCGATAAAGGCCCTGAACTGGTCTGTGCTCAGCTGGTGTCTGTGGGATTATTGCAGGCTGTTTCTGACCATGAACCCGGCGCACGGGGAACTCTCCAGAGCCATGAGGAACAGGGGCATCGAAATGTATATTCCAGGGGAGCACGAGGGAATCTGCTGGGACACACTGGACCTAAAGACCCTACTTCACACAGCTGGGGTGACTGGGGACTGTGTGTGTGATTTACTTATTGACATTCATAAAGACATCAAATCTGCCATCTGGGGTAAGCTTTGAGAATGTGACGGTAAAAACATGAGCTGTCAGTCTGCAGGATTTCTCAGACGTCCTGTCCTCATCCTCACAGATTCCCCTTCTTCATCCCTGGCTTCCCTCCTCCATGCTGCTGCCCTGCTGACCTGCCAGCTGCAGAGAGGGCTTGATTTGCCCAGTGCCTTGCAGCGCGCCTGTGGAGAGGCCTACTCTTCTTGTCAGCGCACCACTGCCAGCCAAAAGGTAATTAAACCTGAACATCAATCAAGCCACAACCATCACTAACATGCTGATGTTAAACTAAATACATTTGGTACATTGTTCATTGATTGATTTGATAAGGTTTCATTTTAGTAGCAGTGACTTGATTGTCTCTCATGTGTGGCCTTACAATAACAAACCCGCTCCTATTTTACTTTCTATATATTTATTTATTTAATATTTGTGTTTGTGTATGTGTAAATGCATGTCCACCCTGATTATTTTAGGACACGGCTTCTATAGCATAAAAGTGTAGTTTCCTCAAAGGATTGGGGTTGCTGAAGAATTTTCTATGGTGCCCCTGACCATCGGTCACTCCCTGGCTCTGCCATTGCACCTGGTACCTCCACTCACCAGGATCTGTCACTCTGCACCACCTCAGACAAAAAAAAAAACTACATCTGTTCTTCTACATTGTGTAACTCCTTCTCACTTGAATGTCTTTCACCAAAAACTAGGGATGCACCGATCCACTTTTTTTTTTTTAAACTTTCGATCCAATACTGATCCCGTTCTGATATCAACATCATCATCATTGATTTTATATGAGGTTGTAATAATCTCCTCTCAAGTTCAATTTGTACAAATATATGCATGCATGTCCAAAAAGGCAACTTGAGGTAAGTTTTATTAATTTTGGACAAGTTTTAAAGTTAGAATTAAATTCTGCTAACACAAAACATGTTTCTTTATTATTCCTAGCTTTAAAGTGGATATTAAAGTGATTAATTTAAGTGTTTGTTTAAAGTTTTTTTTATATAAGAATTTTTTTCTTTTTTCTGCACTCTTTTCATTCAATGTTTTCTTTTTAATGAATTTGTTTTGTTTATTTAGTTTCTTTTAAATGAATGAATAAACAAATAAAATAAAATGTTAAATGGCTTTAAACACCTGCAAAGTTCATGGCATAAACCAACAGACATGTTCCTGTTTTTAGTATTTGACATCACTTTATAATGTAGCTGTTTTGTTTCTTTTGCTTGTAATTTTCAAATCATGTTTTTTTTATGATTGTCTATTGTTGTACTGATAAATATCTCTGGAGGGTAAACTATATCTTGGCTGCAAGTATCAAGCTGTGAAATCCTTCATTTTCTACAACTGATAGTGGTTGGTCATTAATTATGATGAAGTTTAGCAACTTCTCTGTAAACATTTGAGCTCCGTGGTTTCAGCGACGTCTACTTCTTGTTCAATCTGAAGCAGGCAGCCTGATTTCGGTCAGCCGCGCTCGGTCTGTTCCTCCTCAGAGACGGACAGACTGAGCGGGGCAGATTGCACGCGGCTGGCCGGGGTCGAGTCGCCTCTTTCCGGTTGAGCAAAGAGCAGTGCCCCGCTGAAGCCACGGAGCTCGAAAGTCCATCGTAAAACTAACTTTAACGTGGTTTAATGTGGCGCTATGGCTCTGCAGACAGTGCACGATGCTGTCTTGTTTTGTGGTGTTTAGTATAAAATACTTCCACACAGCAGACATGTTTCGATGAAAAGTTGGTTAGCTGTTAGCCACAGTGCTGCTAACTCAGTCCTCACGTTGTAGCTGGCTGCAAACTATGAACTGGATTTCCTGAATGTGTGGCGGATCTTATTACTCTGGGTTCATGAGACACGCCGCCGTTCAGGAAATCTATTCCATAGTTTGAAGACAACATGCATCATGAGTCGCAAATCTCTGCAGGTTGGATCGAAAAAATCCAATACGTGAATTATACTGGTATCAGAGGCCGACGGTGGTGTTCCCCTACGGAACACCACCTCAGAAAAAGAACACCTCATCTCAGAAAAACAGTTCACCTCAGCTCAAACAAACATCATTCCTGTGTTTTGTGTTTGAAACTGTTAAAATAAGATTTATGTATTCCCTTGGGAACAAACAGACATTGTTTTACAAACATTCAGCTTAGCTCACAAACTTTTTAGTTCAGTCAGAGTCAGAGTCAGAGTTTCTTTATTGTCATTCGCACATCATGTGGTACATGTGGTGGAGCGAAATTATGTACACGGGGTCCCAGTTACATCCAACAATAAAATGTATAAGAAAAACAGTAATAACATCTAAGATATGAACTAAGAAAAACATCAACTAAATATACACTAAGCACTCATAACATAAAAACATTGAACATCAGCACAAACATGAACATGAGTCTGTGAGCAGATGTGCACGCATGAACACATCAACATTGAAACAGATCAGCAGCAACATGAAACAGATCAGCAGCAACATGATATGGTTTTTCACAGTGATTATTCTAGTTAGAGATTCATGAGTCTAACAGCCTCAGGGTAGAAGCTGTTCCTCAGTCTAGTGGTTCTACACTCAATGCTCCTTAACCTCCTTCCTGAGGGGAGTGGGGCAAAAAGTGTGTGTGCTGGGTGAGTGGGGTCCTTCATGATGCAGGTGGCCCTCTTCCTGCATCTGGAGGTGTAGATGTCTGTGATGGTGGGGAGGCTGATTCCGACAGATTTCTGTGCAGCCTTCACCACTCTCTGCAAAGCTTTTCTTTCTGCAGCTGTGCAGCCTCCATGCCACACATTGATGCTGGAGCACAGGATGCTCTCCACTGCACACCTGTAGAAGGAGGTGAGGACTGAGCTTCCCAGACCAGCTCGCCTCAGCCGTCTGAGGAAGTAGTGTCTCTGATGAGCTTTCTTGATCAGGCTGGTGGTGTTGTTGCTCCAGCTGAGGTTGTCATTCTTGTGTACACCCAAGTACTTGTAGCTGGAGACCACTTCCACCGCATATCCTCTTATGTTCAGGGGGGTGTAGATGTTTTTGTTCCTTCTGAAGTCCACAATCATCTCCTTTGTCTTCTTCACATTGATGTGAAGGTTATTCTCTTTGCACCAGCTCTCCAGGTGTTCCACCTCTTGCCTGTAGCTGGACTCATCATTGTTTGTGATGCATCCCACCACCGCTGTATCATCTGCAAACTTTACAATGTGACAGCCTGGATGGGTAGCTGCACAATCATACGTGAGCAGAGTAAACAGGAGGGGACTCAACACACATCCCTGAGGAGAGCCAGTGCTGAGGGTTATGGTGGAGGAGGAGAGGTTGTGGATCCTCACTAACTGTGGTCTGTTTGTTAAAAAGTCTAGTACCCAGTTGCAGATGGAGGGGCTTAGTCCTAGTGTGGATAGTTTGTCCATCAGGGTTTGGGGGATCATGGTGTTGAAGGCAGATGTGAAGTCCACAAAGAGCATACGGACGCAAGAGTTTTTCTGCTCCAGGTGGTTGAGCGCAGTGTGGACCACAGAGGAGATTGCATCCTCTGTTGATCGGTTCTCACGGTATGCATACTGATGAGGGTCCTCGTTGATGTTGATGGTTGTTTTGATGCGAGTCATGACCAGTTTTTCAAAGCATTTAGCGACTAGTTAACACTAATGTTAATGTAATAAAAAACCTGTCACTGTGTTAACTTCACTGCCAATATGAACTCATTTCCCATGAAACGGACAGATCGTTTTAATGAGAGCTTTGGTTCAACTGACCTTGAATTTTTTTAAATATCCAAACTCACTACTTTGATATCTTCCTTTATCGAAAAGGAGTACTTCTCCCAAAAAGGTTCCCATGAAGATAACACCATAAGAACCCTTTGTTTAATGACATTCCTTTTCAGGAAATGTACAACAACACTTTTTGGTGAAACATTGCACGTTTTAAGTTTGATTCAAAATATGTCATACCTTAATGTTTATTCATGAAAATGTGTGTTTTAATAATCTTTCTTTAAGATAATACATTTGTCTTATTTTCTCTTTTAAAAAGAAAACTTTTAAGGCAGAGAAAAGGGACTTTAAAAAAAAAAAATAATAATTTAAACACATCCAAGAGTTAGGACCACCCCTCCTGAGGTGTGCCTTCATCTCTGTAACACACAGACAGTTTCACTTCTTCACACTTCACTGGGGCTTCGCCTAAGAAAACTTCTGGAGAAAAAACACGCTTTGAAGAGACGCTCCAAAAAGGACTTGACTGGAGCTCTGAAGAGAAAACTCCAGAGAGAAGACTTTAAGCAGAGACGGGACAAAAGATACAGAAGAAACCCAGCTTAACCAGAACCGGGCTTTAACCTGAGAGCTGTCTACCAGGCAACTCGTTACACCGCAGAGTGGTAAATCCCAGCTGACTCCCATATGGATCCTCGTCCCTCTAAGATGACAGGTGAACTTTGAGGAAAAATCAGCCTCTCAGTTAACTGGAATATCTGAGGTTGGGACCATTTTTAAGCAGCTGTCGAAACCATGCTCTGACCTTCTCATCCTGGTAGGACACAGACTTTTCAATGCCTTTCTGGTGAACCTACATCACAACTAAAAGACAAACTTGGCTCACCTTAGACACAATTTTTAACTACTTCACAAACAGAAACAGTCCTAAATCTTTATCCTGATGCATGCTCAATAATCCAGGTAGAAAAATCCAAAAAAGTTCAATCTGGTCCTCTGGACATTCAAAAAAACAAAACAAAGCAAAAAAATCTAGAAACGTTTCGTCTCTCATCCAAGAGACTTCCTCAGTCTGAGGTGCTGTTTTCAGCTCAGTCTCTTAAATAGCACCTTCTCAGGGTGGATCAACCAGTTTTGCTGCTGACAACCAAAACCAACTGATCACATGTTCAAGAAGGACCATCAGCCTAACAATGGATCATTAGCACACTGATGGCTGTTTACTGTTCACAGAGGGCTGAGTGATACTAGCAATCACAGCATTGTAAGAGGGGGACAGTTGAACCCAGAGGCCTCCACTCCTGTTTAATGATGGACGGTTTCTTTTCACAAAGATGGCCTCCTTTACTCCTCTCTCAAACCATCGTTCCTCTCTGTCCAGGATGTGAACATCTTCACTCTTTCAAGGTCTTTTAGGGTTCAACTGTCCCCCTCTTACAATGCTGTGATTGCTAGTATCACTCAGCCCTCTGTGAGTAGTAAACAGCCATCAGTGTGCTAATGATCCATTGTTAGGCTGATGGTCCTTCTTGAGCATGTGATCAGTTAGTTTTGGTTGTCAGCAGCAAAACTGGTTGATCCACCCTGAGAAGGTGCTATTTAAGAGACTGAGCTGAAAACAGCACCTCAGACTGAGGAAGTCTCTTGGATGAGAGACGAAACGTTTCTAGATTTTTTTGCTTTGTTTTGTTTTTGTTTTTTTTGAATGTCCAGAGGACCAGATTGAACTTTTTTGGAGTCCTAAATCTTCCTTTTAAGTTTCACTAATTTGAATAATAAATTAGACCTTTGTTGCAAAGCTATTTGGTGTTCAGTTAACTTTTGTCATGCATAATCTTCATCATATATATCACAGATTATTATTTTATAATAAAATGCATAAAATCAACTGAACTTGTGATTATTTTGTCATATCTGTGTGTATTAACTGATTTGATGCCCTTTAAACACGAGAAAAGAATTCACTGCATTAATTTGGGGTAAATAGAGACTGATTTTTCCTCTCCAAGAGAGAGGTGGTGCCCAAACAACGAGGTTCTTTGCATAATGCCGGCATATTTTATGAGCTTAACTCATAACTGATAATTAACAATATATATCCATCCCCATATCACTCTACACTGATACCGGATCGGATCGGCCCCATCCCTACCAAAAACACTAAGGTTTACTTGCATTTCCTGTTCAATTCGGGGAGTAGAGATGGTGTGGAGGCAGGGCAGCCGACTGGGGACTAGAACATCGCGTTTGACTCCCAGCCATTCCCACATGTTGTGGCATCTCTGAGCAAGACACCTAATCCCCAATTGCTCCCCGGTGCTTACATAGCTGCCCACTGCTCCACCTGGGTGTATCTCATGTGTCATGGGTTAAATGCAGAGAACTAAATTCCACCATTGTATGGAAACATACAACAATGTCAGTTTCAGACTTCCCTTCAATTCCAGTCCAGAAAAACACATCTCAAAAACTACAAGGAGGGCGCCCCACCCTGTCAACAGAACTCAGCGCCCAGCCTACCAAAATCAAAATGTCATTCACCCACAATCTCCCCCGCCCCCCTGCATCAACAACTGCCGGCACTGACCTAGCACTAAGCTAGCGACGCACAATACATATGTGCTAGCTAAAATACTACTGTTGAAGTAGCACTCCGTTTTTCTCATGTACCCTCCCCCCCCCCAGTTGAAAATTTACAGCATAAAAGTAGCGTGCAACACACAGACGTGTCTACCTCCCCACCCCTACCCCATCTTGATAAAACTCCTCCTTGCCCTACCAAGGCAAGTGACCTAGGAGATGCACTGTTCACAAATCAAATCCCTCAGCGACTGGGGGTACTGGTGTGCTGTTTGTCTTCTTTGACTATCCTTTTGTTGTTTTGAATTTTGTTTTTAAATCTCTTGTGATTTTCAGATCACTGGAAAGAGGTTTGAGGTTCAGAAATGTTTCTCCCTGTAAACCGAAGCGCAGCTGATATTTTTACTGTTCAGTTTTGTTTCTGTCACTTTGAAAGTTTGTGAAATTTACTTTAGATACTTCAAAATGTAACTTTTTATTCACCAGTACAGTCAAAAAGCTGATGTTTTATGGTACAGTCTCCGTATGATTGTAAACGTTCTTTTGTCCTGTCCATAACTTTTTGTGACCCCAAGTATAAAGTCAGGGTCAAGTCAAGGTCAAAGTTAAAACAAGGTCTTAGCTTGTCTGGGCCATGACTGCTGATTCGCTCTAGATAACTGAATGAACCTTGATACACATTAGTACCACAATCCAAGTCAAAGGTTTGCTTCTTCAGACTATTATTATAGCTTGCTGTAAAACTGTATAATGGTTTGTGGACCAGTGTATAATGGTTTGTGGACCAGTGT